GAAGCGCCGTTTACCTTCCCGCCGGAGCGGTACCTATTTATCTACTTGCACTTTGACGTGTTTTCAAACTGCTTGGTGGGCAGGAGCAGGGACCGAGCAACGGAAGCTCACCCCATCACAGGGATTCGAATCGCCGACCTTCTGATCGGCAAGTCCTAGGCTCTGTGGTTTAACCCACAGCGCCACCCGCATCCCTTCTGTGTTAGTACCAAACCTTAAATTTTGCCCTGTCTCAGTGGCAGCCAGTGCAAAATGCACATGCAAGGTGTTATTTGCTGGCAGCGGTTTGCTCCAGCAGGCAACCTGGCCACCACATTCTGCACTAGCTGCTGCCTCCGAACTAACCTCAAGGGTGGTCCCACACAGAATACAAGCCAAGTTAGAAGAGTATTGGAGAATGCCAATATTAACCAGGGTCCTTGCCTAAAAGTAATTAATGATATTATGGTAATAATCTTGTTTGAGCAATGGCATATACTGACTACTAGGTTCCGTACCTACCTCTGCTATTCTTAGAGCCTCCAGGACATGGCTGTCCTTTTCAATGTTCTTTTGTTTCTGTAAAGATCTCCATACAGCATTCCTTAATCCTTCTCTAGTTACATCCCCGGCGAGTTCACTACGCAGGACAACTAGATTGTAGACCACACCATAACGAATAACCCAGAATGGATCGTGACCTGCAAAAAATATTTCAGTGTCCCATGAGCATTCTACGCCTTTGCTAAAAGAACATAAGGAATGCTTTGCTGGATCACAACCAGATCTATGTAGTCTTTATCATATATATATTTCCAAATAGCAAGCAGCTAATGCCTCTGAAAGCTCGGGCCTGATTCAAACAAGGCGAGGCGCACTTTTCATGGCACAATGACTGAAATGAAATGACTGATGTTTTAATGTATTTAATGTTGGAAGCCGCTCAGAGTGGCTGGGGAAACCCAGCCAGATGGGCGGGGTAGAAATAATAAATTATTAGTAGTAGTAGTAGTAGTAGTACACCCACAGGGTAGTCCATCAATGACGTTATTACAAATTGTCGCCTGTACCACATCCCCAAATTCCAGCCAGTTACCACTTACCATTTTGATTCGGGGTTGGAAACAAGACATAAAATGCCCCCAGAAATACCTTTGTGGTATACTATTGAACCCAACCAATGTTAGCGGATTGCGGTAGTAAAAAAATCCATAGATTTCTCACAAACAAATGGTAAAGGAACGTAAAGGAAGTGTGAGTAGGTTGGCACAAGCCATGTAATGTTTTGGAACATTTTTATAATTATGGACAGTGTTCTTACAAGCTTTTTGATGGGGTAAGAAAAACATCCCAAAAACCATTAACGTTAGTTTTTAGTTGTATGATTTAAAGTTAATGGGGGGGAGAGATAGCAGCTTTCCCCCAATATTTACTTCTACAAGATTTTAACAGGATTTTTACTTTTAAATATAATTTTACTGTTTCTCATTGAAAATAAAAACCATAGCTTATTATTACTGTTATCACCACCACCACCACCAAAACCACCATCAATATGCAGAACCAAAGGTTTACTGAACAGGAAAAAAAAATACTATGTCCTCTGAATAAGTTCTTTTGATTCTGTGTGATTGGGTTTTCTCAAACACACTTCATGTGACACCACAGAAAAACAAGAAAAGTGACACACTTAAGTGGCACACCTGACACATGTCCACTGGGAGAAGCATTGCTGGACTGAAGTATTCTACTCAGTTCTTAACCTAAGGTACCATTTTAGCTAATGGGGCCTCCCGCTGCTGCCGCCGCAACACTTTCTGTTCTCATCCTGAGGTAAAGTTCTTAACCTGAGGTACTACTTCCAGGTTAAGTGGAGTCTGTAACCAAAGTGTTTGTAACCTGAGGTGTTTTTAACCCAAGGTACCACTGTACCCAAAATCAAGTGACTGAGGTGGTTGCTTCACACTGCCATATGGTAGAGCCAGCCCTGGATACAGAGAACAGAGGCTTATTGAATTCATGCTGCCAGGTGTTTAATTCTGAAACATAATAATAAAATCTTTCAGTTCATGGATTTTGTTTGCTGAAGGTGGCACAAAGGAATTGTCAAAAGATAAATAAGTAGCTGAAGGAGAAAGAAGATTAGGAGGATATCAAAAGAAGCTGCCTTGGCTTATTTTTTCATGAAAAGATGCTTGTACACAATATTTATGTTTATGCAGCTATTATATTAGGTGTGAAGAATATGCTAGGCTTGTGAAAGTGGTTTGATCCCAGGCCTTCTCAGCATGCAATTGTTCCGTTTGTAGAGGAAAATATAGCTCTTCCCTTTCCAGCTGAAAACAGAAATGCTAGAAACACACACACACACACAAATGTAACAATATTTGAAGTGTCAAAAAGATGAGAGCATGTTAAATGACTGTGCTCATCCTTAAAATATTTTCTCCTCCTGCTTTACATCATGTTACCTTGTCATTAGCAGTATTCCCGACATGCCCTCCTAATTAGAACAGGGAATATAACAAATGTTGAGGAAACATCAGTCATTTCTTTAGAGGCCTGCTACTCTAATGTGCTGACTGTCTCCAGAAATGGAGCTCCACATCTTTCACTCTTATGAATGTCAACGGCAATTTAAAGCATGCCCCTTCGCTAAGAGGAAGTTCTCCTCACCATACTGAATCAGGCAGTTAGATACATTCTAAAATGTATATAGACAACGCCGGTTGCAAGCCTATCTGGAAGTAAGCAGCTAAATTCAGAGAATCGTAGAGCTACGAGGGACCCTGAGGATTATGTAGTCCAATCCCCGGAAATGCAGGAATATGCAGCTGTCCCATACAGGGATTGAACCTGAAAACTTGGTGCAATTCAATGTGGATTACTTCTGCACAGACATGTATAGGGTTGCCCTGCACTCAGTTGAGGTTGTACAAAAGAAATATAGAGGATTGTGGCATTTTGGTTTTGCTTCTTTTGGTAGAGCATCTACACCCAGAAGATACAGAAAACAAGTTGAACAAGATGAAAACCAAAGTTTTAGAGGAAAATTTAACTGTGAATGAGAGAGAGAAGTTTCAGGAGGAGACAGGACTAACATTGGTTAAAAAAGTGAAATACTTAGGGGTTAACATGACTGCTAAAAATGTGAATTTATTTAAGGATAATTATGAAAAATGTTGGACTGAAGTGAAAAAGGATTTAGAAGTATGGACTAATTTGAAGTTATCATTGTTAGGCCGAATTGCTGTGATAAAAATGAATGTGCTGCCAAGGATGTTATTTTTGTTTCAAACACTGCAAATTTTGGACAAGATGGATTGTTTCAAGAAGTGGCAGAAGGATATTTCTAGATTTGTTTGGCAGGGCAAGAAGCCTCGAATAAAATTTAAGATACTAACTGATGCCAAAGAAAGAGGTGGATTTGCCCTGCCAGACCTTAAACTTTATTATGAATCAGCTGCTTTTTGCTGGCTGAGAGAATGGCTGCTTCTTGAAAACACTGAAGTGTTGGATTTAGAAGGTTTCAATAATGTATTTGGCTGGCATGCATATTTGTGGTATGATAAGGTAAAAGTACATAAAGCGTTTAAAAATCATATTGTTAGAAAAGCATTGTTTAATGTTTGGACAAGATATAAGGATTTGTTAGAAAAGAAAACCCCAAGATGGTTGTCACCAATGGAAGCGAAGGCACAGAAAAAACTCAATATGGAGGCCAAATGGCCGAAATATTGGGAAATTCTGGAACAAGATGGAGACAGAATAAAATTGCAGAGCTTTGAAAAATTGAAAAACAAAGTGCAAGATTGGCTCCATTATTACCAAATAATGGAGGCATACAAATTGGACAAAAAAGTTGGTTTCCAGGTGGAAAAATCAAAATTGGAAACAGAATTGTTAGACCCAAAAACCAAGAATTTGTCAAGAATGTATAACTTGCTGTTGAAATGGAACACTCAGGATGAAACGGTGAAATCAGCTATGATTAAATGGGCACAAGATGTTGGACATAACATAATGATGGCTGACTGGGAACAGTTATGGACCACAGGTATGAAATTCATGGCATGTAATGCCCTAAGAGAAAATCTAATGAAAATGATTTATAGGTGGTACATGACACCAGTCAAGCTTGAAAAAATTTACCATCTGCCCGATAATAAATGTTGGAAATGTAATGAGGCTGAAGGTACATTCTTCCACCTTTGGTGGACATGCCCAAGGATTAAGACATTCTGAGAGATGATTTATAATGAAATGAAAAAGGTATTTAAATATACCTTCCTGAAGAAACCAGAGGCCTTTCTCCTGGGCATGGTTGGCCAATTGGTGCTAAAGAAGGATAGAACTTTTTTTATGTATGCAACAACAGCAGCAAGAATACTCATCGCGAAGTATTGGAAGACACAAGATTTACCCACCAGGGAAGAATGGCAGATGAAGTTGATGGACTATATGGAACTGGCGGAAATGACTGGCAGAATCCGAGACCAGGGAGAAGAGTCGGTGGAAGAAGACTGGAAAAAGTTTAAAGACTATTTACAGAAACATTGTAAAATTAATGAATGCTAGAAGAATGTTGGAATGAAGTGATATGGCTTTAGTAGAAATGTTATAAGGAATTAAGTATAAATAGATTAATAGAGTATTAAAGGAAAAATAAGGTTAAAATGTGTTAAGATAATTATAGGATAGAAAACAGGGGAAGATGGAAAGGAATTGCTGAAATAATTAATAGAAGTGGAATACAAAAAGGGAGGTGTGAGGAGGTCATGGAAATATGTGAAAGAAAGATAAGATATTGAAATTTTTTTCTTTTTTGATGTGTTTTTAAATTGTTTTTGTTTTGTCTTGTTAATTTAATGTTTTAGTGATATGTAGTGTTTTGTATTGTATTGTTATTGGGGTTTTTTTGTTTTTTTCCCCCTGTAGTGTTTAAATTGTCGTAAAAGTAATAAATATTATTTTTTTAAAAAGAAGAAGATACAGAAAACATAATAACCGCTTCCAGTAGCACCTTAGAGACCAACTAAGTTTGTTATTGGTATGAGCTTTCGTGTGCTAGCACACTTCTTCAGATACACACAAAAGCTCATACCAGTAACAAACTTAGTTGGTCTCTAAAGTGCTACTGGAAGGAATTTTTTAATTTATTTTATTTTATTTTGTTTCGACTACGGCAGACCAACATGGCTACCTACCTGTAATAATAACCACTGTATGCAACAAATATGTACCACATATTTGTCATTACCATATTTGTCATATGGGCCCTGCTATCACTTAAAAAATGTCTTCTCCTGATAGTGCTGTTGGTTATGACTGAATAGTAATAACCCATCTTTGGAAATCCTATCCACAGATACAAAGAATATTTCAGTAAAATAACACCAATCTAGAACCATTAAAAAATGGCAACCTTTTGTTTGCATTATAAATATGATAAATGAAAAATTGCAGAGTCTGAAATTCCTAGCTACTAGGCTGCAGTGGCTGCAATCCAGTTGTTCTGATGTACATGCAATACTCAGGTGCATACAGGGAATTCTCTTCTCACAGGAAGTGAATGTCCTGCATGTCCAAATAAGCCCTACGCATTCATGCATGCATGCAGCAAAACCCCTTCATAGAAATGAAAAGGAAGTCTGCCTTTGTATGCAGCAACTGACTACTCCTTAAACGCATCCTTCATGTAAATATATTTCAGCTAGCAGTACTCCAAAGGAGAAGGGGCTGCCCGGTCAACAGCTGATCAGGAGATATGAATTCTTGCTCGATCAAGCCAACAGTCCAAGGAGCAGAGTTTTGGCCCATTGATGCCCAAGGCAATATATGAGGCACTACCACTTCTGCCAAAAGTGGGATTTCATTGAGCCGCCATCTTTTTTTTTTTTTTAACAAGCCTTTTACTTCCATAGAACTCCCCCTTCAGGATTGTTGATCTTTTCATGAGGCATACTTGACCATAGCTTGAGGATGAGAATAAAGGCAGGACGGCAAACTGTGTTTAAAATAAGGACATAAATGAATCCATAGTCAGCCCAATGCCTACTAAGTCCGACCCACTATTTCCCAAATGGCCAACCAGATGACCAAGCAGGAGTGACTTGCCCAGTGAGTCAGAGCCACAACAATAGCATCACTGCAACTGCGGCTTTCCAGATCACATTGAGCCCATCTAGGGCTCTCACAAGTGTGTCCTAGCAGCTCTGCTCTCACCGCCTTGGCTCTCCCTGTAAGCTGGAGCAACTCTGCTGCTGGGGGACTATTGTGACTCTGCTCCAGTGGATAAGTCACTTCTGTGACCACAAGAAACCCAGAAACAAGGTGTGAAAGCAATTGACAGCTGTTAATGTTCTCAAACAAAAAGCCCAAAGAATATCACTTTCAGCATTTTTTTCCATTTCTTACCCACTGTGAACACAATAGTTCCATTGTGAACTATGTGAGAGCCAATAAAACTTGGGGGGAAACTGCATTAATAACTTGCGCAATTTACATGTGAATCTTTAGACATTAAATACATTAGCTGGCTGCTTCAGAAATGAATGAATCTGTGTGTTACATTAAAAAGTCACTGGTCATGATCACCACAGACTCATCTTCCATAGCAGGAGTTCTCAGTAATGGTTCTCTCAATTATCTTTCAGGGATGAAAATCCTGAGAAAGCTTGAAAGGAACAGGTATCTTTTCTTATAGGAAAAGATTGTAGGTCATACCCAAAGATGTCAAGGCTGCAATTCTAAGCACTACTAGGGAGTAAGTCCAGTTAGAATCTATGGGACTTGCTTCCTAGTAAACTTGCTCTGTGGTTGCATCCGTGTGTACACTTACTTAGGAGTAAGCCTAATTGAACGCAATGTGAATTACTTCCAAGTAAACGTGCACAGAATCAAAATGTAAGGCTTCCATTATATAAAATGCATATAATGCGTAATTACTTGAAGACATCTTGAACTCAGTGCGGCTGAGTGAAAATGGATAGGTTTAAGCTATACAGCAGCTTACTTTCCTGAAAATCTTCACTCAACTTGTTCGCAGATCACAGCCCTAATAGGGAACTATTAAGAGATGGCATTTAATCAGTCTTTTGACTGAGGAGGTGATATTTTACTTTTAAGATAATATACAGAGAACAAGGAAGCATAGAAATACTGACAACCATAGGCAGATAAAAAAAAATTGTGGAAGATTAATTAGACAAGAATGGATGAGTTCATGCTGAGCATATGAATGAGGAAATGGCGCCACACAGGCCTGGCAGGCAATCCAAATTACTTTCATCCAGACTGAATCTTGAAATGCTTTTGGACATTGTGATACAAGCATTGAAGTCCTAAAATTGCATCTAAAGAGTGAGTACAGCAAGATGATGAATCAAAGCAGAGGGAACCATGTGTTTGTTTGGATACAGTTTTCACAGAAGTGAAGCCAAGATTGTCCAGGTTTCAGGTAAGAATTACATACCAGAGGTAGCCAGGTTACATCAACAAATGGGCAGAAATGGGGCTATGTTTATACATGGAATGTAATGGAAAGTCATAAGCAAGATGCCGATGCAGATATGAAGTCAAGTCTATCTGAGAAGCTTGGTTTTTTTTATAAAAAACCTCAAGGGCGTTTTTAAAACCCTGGGCCAAGTTAGTTACAGGATGAAACCATCATGTTGATAACATAGACTGGAATATGTAAACTCCGAGATGTGATGAAGTCTGAAGGCTTCAGCACATGCCTACCTTGTAAGTTGATTCACATTCTCAACATGATTTGTCCTAGTAACACAGAGAAGATCACCTTCTATTCCCTTTCCCCAATGAGAGGTGCAAAGCAACAGTTGCCCGTAAAAATAGATTCCTAGTCCATTTAAACAAATATGGTGCAGAAGAGGAGATGCTTGCATGTAATCTTAAGGGAATGGAAGCAGCAGCAGAATGGAAGCCCTAAAGCCTTTGTTGGAATCATAGGGTAGCTCAAGATGTGGCAATTTTTTTATGAACGATACACTAACTTAAGAAAGGGTAGGGAATTTCAAGAGAGATCTTGACTGGGCTGTTCAGAGTTGAGCTCCCATTACAGTGGTACCTTGGCAGTCGAACGGCTTGGCTCCCGAACAAATCGGCTCCCTAACACCGCAAACCTGGAAGTGAGTGTTCTGGTTTGCGAACGTTTTTCAGAACCAAACGTCCAACGCGGCTTCCGCGGCTTCTGATTGAGTGCAGGAAGCTCCTTGGTTTTCAAACGGACTTCTGGAACGGATTAAATTCAAGAACCAAGGTACCACTGTATTGACAACCATAAGTTTTCATCGGTACATTTAACATCTTCTCAGCATTGGTGATCACCCATCAAAATTCACAAGTAAAAGAGAGAGAGAGAGAGATAGTTCAGTCAGTAGAACATGAGACTCTTAATCTCTAGATGACACTTGTGGTCCCTTCCAATTCTATAATTCTAAAATGATTCTAAAGGTCAGAAAGGGCTGGAATTTTCACCAGTGCCTCTCCTTTGTTACCACATGTCCATGACTGTCCATGACATGTCCATCTATACTGCGCATATGTGCATCCAAGGGCATATCCACACTGGAGTTCAATGTGAATTTGGAGCTGCTTGTGTCTCTCCTGATTGATTGATTGATTGATTGATTTTGGCAGCATCCATGTGATGCTTCCAAAACGCCAGTCATGGCTGGAGGGTGGTAGAGGGGTTTGTGAGAAGTGGTTGAATAAAGCAGACTAAATCCTGAAAGGGAGATAGCTTGGCAACTTTGCAGAGTTATTAAGAAGTAAGCGGAACAAAACTGCAGAGGAAGTCTGCTGTAAATAACATTGTGCACACAAGAGTCCTCTGATTAAGCAATCAGACAGAAGAGTAGGTCAGGCCAGGCTTCCAACAGAACAAAACTACTACTGTAATTAAGACATACTGAACATGGTATCCAAGACCTCTCCCTCTAGAACAGCAGTTCTCAATCTGTGCGTCCCCAGATGTTGTTGGACTACAACTCCCTTCATCCTATCATCAGCTAGCCTTGCTAGCCAGGGGTGATGGGAGTTATAGTTCAACAACATCTGGGGACCCACAGGTTGAGAAAGGCTGCTCTAAACGACCAGTTTGCAGCCAGGACTCTCCGGATATCACAAGAGCTCTTTATCCTTCCTATGACACCCACCAACTGCTTAAAAACACTAACGACTCACAGACTGTAAGTTTTTATCCTCTGCCATCTCTGTTCCAACGGGGTTTCACATACACCCATTGAGAGAAACCTTAATTGGTGCTAATACATTTTTACCCATTAGCTTCCTGTATGCTGTTTTCCCTCTTTAGGGCCCAGGAAGCTCAGCTTAGAATGCCTCTTACAGGCAAAATGGAGATTTTTTTGAAGCCAAGATGCTGGAGAGATACTCAAAATGGCAGGAAATTGTGCTGAAATGGGGAAACTAACTGGAAAGCTCAGAAATCAAGATGACAAGAAAAAAATTTAAAGAATGGGAAATGTTTATTATGTATTTGCAAAAGTATTGTAAACAGGTTAATACACTGGTAGGATTTTAAGAACACTTGTAATTTTAGAGATACAGTGGTGCCCCGCAAGACGAATGCCTCGCAAGACGGAAAACCCGCTAGACGAAAGGGTTTTCCGTTTTGGAGGTGCTTCGCAAAACGAATTTCCTATGGGCTTGCTTCACAAGACGAAAATGTCTTGCGAGTTCCTGCGGGGGTTTTTTCCTCCCCCCCCCCTTTTTCCCAAGCCGCTAAGCCGCTTATCAGCTGATCGCTAACAGCTGATCGCTAAGCCGCTTATCAGCTGATCCGCTAAGCCGCTTAACAGCTGATCCGTTAAGCCACTAAGCTGCTTATCAGCTGATCCGCTAAACCCGCTAAGCCGCTAATAGCGCTAATCCGCTAAACCGCTAATGGGCTTGCTTCGCAAGACAAAAAAACCGCAAGACGAAGAGACTCGCGGAACGGATTCTTTTCGTCTTGCGAGGCACCACTGTAGTACAGGAAATTTGAGGTAAAAAAATAATTTGGAGTAGAAATGATATGCAGTTGAAAAGAAAATTTAAGGAACCGGGGAGGGGGGAAGGAAGTCACAGTATTCGGAGAACCCCATTTTATG